AAAAAAAAAAAAAAAAAAAAAGAATCATTTCGGGTCAGAGGAGGAACACAGGGCCCTTTCCACTGGGGGATTTCTGGATGCTGTGTCCCGCCGACATACTGAAAAAGTCAATCTCTGTGAATTGTAGGCAGACACATTTCTACTTTGGGTCTGTAGCGAACTCGAAAATCTGACAGCTCCAAAGGAACAGTGTTACAGTATGAAGAGCAGACTCTAATACTGAATGAAGTTTGCTTTGCTATTACCTTATAGAGTATAGATACAAGGTTCTCTCACAGTACTGTATTTCACCTACCACTTAATATAAAATATAAACCTGAAATGCAAAGTTTAGAAATTTAAAAACACACCCTGAATAAGCAACTGATCCAGGAAGAAAGTCTATCTATGTTAGAAAATACTTAGAATTTATTTATTTATTTGAAAATACTTCGAATTTAAACAGTAAATGAAAATATGATTTATCAAAATTTTGGGACACAAAGTAGTTCACTCTTGGAGGGTAAACTTGAACCCTGTGATGTCGAGTGGGGTATACTATGCACACCTGCAGTCCCAGCTGTGAGTTCGAGACCAGCCTGGGCTACCTAGTGAGTTCCAGGTCAGTCTCAGCTACAGAGTGAGACCCTGTCTCTCAAAAAACTGAAAAACAAAAACAAAAAAGCAAACCAACCGAACCAAAACCAGAAACAGCTGGGGGTGCAGCTCAGTGGCAGAGCATCTGAACACCTTCTTAGCCCTCGGAAAGTTTCGGGTCCAAGCCCCGCTATCTGTTAAGACTCTCAGCAAAGGACTGAAGGGATCGGCTGGGAGTGAGGTGCACACCTGTGACCCCAGCACTTCGGGAAATGGAGGGCGGAGGACCGCAAGTTCAATTCCAACTCCAGCCTGGGCAAACGAGGAGGCCAGGGCCGCAGGCGCAGCTGGGTGTGAAGGCCCTGGGTTCAGTGTCCACTACTGGGGAAGAATAAGCATAAAAACAAAACCAGAGCAGGGAAGAGAAGCCACTTCTTTAACCTGACAGAAAGTATTGGGGGACACTGAAAACCCTCCCTACCTCTGACATCGGACACCACGACCCCTGGCACTTTCCTTCCAGTGCTCTCCAGATCTCGGCAGAGGGCACAGAAACGAGATAAAACAACAGCCGGGAGAAGCAGCAGCAAAACTGTCATTATTCTCAGGTGGCAGGATTGTGGACTTAGCAAATCCCAAAGACGGTACAGCAAACTATCTACACTAGTAGGAGAATCTGGTACGACTGCTGGATGCTACAGAGACAGTATTTAAACATCAGCTGTATTATTTTTACCTGCAAACAGAAACTGTAATAAAAACAAAAAATGAGGTCCCAAACAAGCTGAGGGAAATGTATGATTTTTCTCTTTTTGGGGGGTACTGGGGATTGAACTCAGGACCTTGCTTCTGCAAGGCAGGTGATGGAACCACTGAGCTAAATCCCAGGCCCAAGGACTATAATCATCATTATTATTTTGGTTTTTGAGACAGGGTCTCACTATGTAGTTGAGGCTGACCTGGAACTCACTATGTAGCCCAGGCTGGTCTCGAACTCACAGCGATCCTCCTGCTTCAGCCTCCCGAGTAATGGGATTGCAGGCGTGCGCCACCATGCCTGGCCCAAGTATGATCTTTAAAGGAAAAATTATAATACTTTATAAAGACCTAAGCAATGAAAGAAACAGATACAACAAAGACCTAAGCAATGAAAGAAACAGATACAGAAACAGAAGGCTCAACTTTGTAAAGACATCTACTGACTGAAACAATCAGTAAAAATTCCCTAAACTGATGAGAAAAACCAATACAAACCCATTCAAATGCCTTAGGTTTTTCCTTCGTTTTGATGTAATTTGACAGTATTCAAAATATATACAAAAGGGCTGGGGATTTAGCTCAATGGTTCTGGCCCCTGCCTCGCAAGCACAAGGACCCAAGTTCGAAGTTCGATCCCCCGTACCAACAAAACAAAATATATACAAAACATAAAAAGGATCAAGTTGTGCAGGGCTGGGTATTTAGCTCACTGGTTCTGCCACCTGCCTCGCAAATGCAAGGACCTGAGTTCGATACCCAGTACCAAAAAAACCCAAAACAAAACAACCCCCCGCAAAAACAAAGGATCAAGTTGCTTTTGAAGTCAACAAACAATATAAAAAACAAAAAAAAACCTCCCCAAAACAAAATGAGGGGATCTGACTATCAGATATCAAGACTATTTCCAAATGACTTAAACATCCAGATATAAGAGGCAAAGCTATAAGACGTTTGGAGGTTTCGTGAGAAAAACATCTTCATGACCTTGATGCAGGAGATATATGCCTTAAATAGAAAAAAATAAGATCTAATCGTAAAGAGAACTATCGATCCAACCAATTATATTAAAGCCAAGTAGTTACATTCACTTATGGATTGGCTGATTGATTACTGGTACCGGGGATCAAACTCGGGTCCTTGCGCTTGTGAGGTGGGCGCCGGAACCACTAGGCTAAATCCCCAGCCCAGTAGTTACGTTTATTAAAAGACACCAGATGCAAGGATATAGTCAGGCTGGGTATGGAGGGACACACCTATGGAGCCAGCACTCTGGGAGGCTGACGCAGGAGGATCAAAGGCTGGAGCCCAGACCGACGAGCAGTTCAGTGACTTAGAAAGACCGTGTCTCAAAACAAAACTAAAAAGGCCTGGGGCGGGGCATGATGGTGTATGCCTCAATCCTAGCACTCAGTGGGGTGAGGCAGGAGGATCTGTGATTTTGAGACTAACCTGTAGTACAGAGTGATTTCAAGGCCAGCCTGAACTACATACACCTCCATCTCCAAAAAATAATAATAAAAAAATAAATAAAAAGGGGCTGGGTATATAGCTCAGTGTGACAGCCCTGGGTCTAATCTCCAGTACCACAAAACAAAACAGAATAAAACAGGGCCAGGGAGTTAGCTCAGTGGTGCCACTGCCTGCCTTGCAAGCTCAAGGTCCTTGTTTGATCCCTGGTACCAAAAAACAACAACAGTAACAAAAAACCAACAGAGTAAGACACTTCCTCATATAGTCCCAGAACCGTTATTCAAATAGCCAGAAACTGGAAAATCCAGTGAATGCCGACCCTACAGCAGACAAATGCACTGCAGTCTATGCAATTTCTTTGTTCCTTTCCCCTGGTACTGGGGCTCGAACTCAGAACCTTGCGCTTTTGAGGCAAGCCAGCTGCTACTGAGCTAAGCTCCTAGCCCTTGCAATTTCGATATTAAACTACACTTATGTGTATGAATCCCAACAATTTAAACTGAGAGAAGCCAGACAGAGATGTCCACACGGTGGGAACTTGTGTACGACATTCACATGGGCGAGTTAGAGAGTAAGAGAGCGAGGAAGGAAGGAGGGCTGGGAGGGCAGAGGGGGACAGGGATGATGACGAGATTTCGTTTACTGACCAAGAGATGCCAATATGGGTGCATTCATCTTGTGATAATGCACTGCGCTGATATGTATGCCTTCTTACATGTGTATTCTAAAAAACTTAACAAGGGAACACTCTAAAAATACTACAAAGACAACCCACAGAATCAGTAAAGCTATCTGCCACACATAAAAGCAAGACAAGAGAGGAAACAAAACCCCGAAAGATGAGAAGAGATACATAACTGGTACAAATCAAGAACAAAGATGGATGTGCAGCAGAGAAAAAAATGAGTCAGGGAGGGGCGTGGTGGCGCACACCTGTAATCCCAGCACTCCGGAGGCTGAGGCAGGAGGGTCGCTGTGAGTTTGAGATCAGCCTGGGCTACATAGTGAGTTCCAGGGCAGTGTCAACTACATAGTGAGATTGTGTCTCAAAAAAACCAAAAAAACAAAAAAAAGAGTCAGGAGCTGGGCGTGGTGGCAAACGCCTGTAATCCCAGCACTCAGGAGGCTGAGGGAGGAGGATCACAGTGAGTTCAAGGCCAACCTGGGCTACAAACAAAGAGAGAGAGACTCTGTCCCCCCACAATCAGGAATGTAAGAGGCAGGTGTGTCACCAAGAGGAAACCCGAAAGGCTCACTTACAGGTGAGAAGACACCTCAGTTCCTTAGAATTAAGGAAACGTGGAGAAGTCACAAGGGGGCGCCCTTACACAGTCATCCGCTGAGGAAAGGTAGCTTGGACCCCGGTGCTGAGGCCACGGAGCAGTGGAACTCACACAGTACTGTGGAAACGCAGCAGCTACCGCAGCTCTGCAAAGCCCAGCACCTGGCAGAATGCGGAGTTCACGCCGGAGGATCCAGCAGGGACACCCACAGGGCAGCTCTCAAACTGCTTCGTCCCGGGGCATTTCTACCCTCTCAGATACAGAGGATCCCAAAGTTCTTGTCTGTTGGAGGGGTTCACTCCCTCACTCATTTTGAGGTGTTGGTCTTGCCTTGTTGCCGAGGCTGGCCCTGAACACCTGGGCTCAAACCAATTCTCCTGCCTCTGCCTCCTGAGTACTTGGGACTGCATGAATCTCCGAGCCCAGTTCCGGTGTGACTTATATTACTGGTATTTATTAGCTGCCTTAGAAGTTGAAAAACAAAAACTGTACATGTTAACATAAGTGGCATTTTTTTGGTACCGGGGTTCGAATTCAGGACCGTGCACTTGTAAGGCAGGAGCAGCACCACCGAGCTAAATCCCCAGCCCGAAATGACATATTTTTAAAGAAAAATATTGGGTCGAGGCCAGCGTGAGGTATATAGTGAGTTCAAGGGTAGCCTGCACTACAAAGCCAGACCTTGGCTCAAAAGAATAAATTAAAAAAAACACTATGTAAGTATACTGGACCGTTTTTGTCTATACTTTCTATTTGCTTAGCAGACTTCGATGTCATTTCTGTGACACAACTCAACCTGGCAGAACGTCTGGCTCCTACCTCACGGTACCAGTGCTGCACACGATCACGGGAAATGTTCCGAGACAGGCACTGCAATTTGTGATATAATTTTACGGCTTTTATTTCATTAGGACCCGTTCCACAGATATGGAAAACTAAGACAATTGATTTCTGCTGTATAATCTGGCATTTGTTGTAGATTAAAGCTTATTTTTGTGTGAATGAAACACGTTCAATAAAGTACTATTTTGTTTTGTTTTGTTTTGTTTTGTTTTGAGGGTACTGGGGATCGAACTCGACTCCTTGCCCTTGCAACGCAGGCGGCAGAACTACTGAGCTAAATCCCCAGCCCCCAATAAAGTATTATTCTTTAAAATTAAAAAAAATATATTGGGCTGGGATGGAGCTCACTGGTAAAGCACATGTGTAGGACGCATGGCACGTAAGCTTTGATTTGCAGCAGTTAATCATGTTTTCATCTTTCTTTAGCCTAGCCTTTTCTTTGTGTGTGTGGTACATATCTTCACCCATTCTGTGGACTATCTGCACTGTTTTGTATGAATGTATGTGTACATATATTTACTTAGAGACAGAGTCTCCCTGCGTAGCCCAGGCTGGCCTTGAACTCACGGCCATCCTTCTGCCTCAGCTTCCTGAGCGCTGGGACTACAGGTGTGCGCCACTATGCCTGGCTGCACTGTTTTTAGAGTACCCACTTTTAAAATTATTTATTGACATAGAACACAGATATAGAAAGATACACACATTTCTTTAACGTCCTGTTTCACACTGATGTAGGTGGGGTCTTGTATTTTACCTGGGACCTCTGTTAGTATTTTTTTTTTTTGAGACAGGGTCTCACTAGGTAGTTGAGACTGACCTGGAACTCACTATGTAGCCCAGGCTGGCCTCGAACTCACAGCGATCCTCCTGCCTCAGCCTCCCGAGGGCTGGGATTCCTGCGTGCAGCACCACGCCGGGCAGCATTCCTAACATTTGCTTTCCCGGTAGGACACGAGGCAGAGGAGCCTGTCTTGGGTCACCACTGTCCCCTCATCTCATCGCCCAGAACAGGGCTGGGCACATAACAGGCACTCAGGGCTGTGCTGCCTCTAGGCTGTGAGCGCAACGCTCCAAGACTACTTCTTGGGGAGCCAGGGCCCCCAGCACGGCAGGAAGGGGCCTTGTTTCTCCAGCCCCTCAACCCCACTGGTTATTTTAAGTGTGAAAATCTTGACAAAGATTTCTCAGGCACTGGTCACAGCGATGGTGAGCTAGCATCATTTACATAAATGTAAATGGGGTAGTCAAATTGTTGTTATTATTATTATTATTTATTTATTTATGTTTGGTACTGGGGATTGAACTAGGGACCTTGCGCTTGTGAGGCAGGCGGTGGAACCACTGAGCTACATCCCCGGCCCTCTCTTTCTTGGTGGGGTGTTGCTATGCTGTCCAAGCTGGCTGGCTCCAAACTCCTGACCACAAGTGACCCTCCTGCTTCCTTCAGCTCCCCAGGTCATGAGCCCAGAGGCAGGTGCCACTGCACGCAGTTTCGATTATTAATTTTCCAACAGGAGCATTTATGAATAAAATTTTTTTTTAAGCAAAGCACCATCAAGTGAGATTTAAACTCCCTTACTTTTAAATCTTGTGCATCAGCAGGAGAAATGGAAACGTCGTTTCGGTCTCGCCGCCCTCCCCCCGAGCCACCGCGGGCCTCTCACTACCTGGATCATGTCGGCCGGCTTGGTGACGTGCTCCTTGAAGACCAGGACGGCGGCCGCGTACACGTTGACGTTGTACCGCCTCGTCATCTCTTCCGCCCCTCTCGTCCCCACGGACACGTAGCCGAACGACAGATCGTCTTTGTACGCGAACGCAGTCAGCTGTGCGGGACGAAGGCCAGGGAGCGGGTGAAGGGACGGCAGGCTCGGGGGCTGCTCCCTCGCCCAGCCCCGCCGGCTCCTGTCGTCTCCGCACTTTCGGGAGTGCTGTGGTGGTCGCCACACAAAACTGCGACGTACCAGGGGCCGGGACTTAGCTCAGCGGTGCCGCTGCCCAGCTGGCAAGGCCTGCGCGCTATCCCGGGTATCAAAAAACAAACAAACGAAAGCGAAAACGGTACCAAAAAGGCAAACACAACGAATTCTTCCTTTCGAAGACGAAAGAATCACCGCATTGAGATCGGTCCTGGGTGTGAGAACGGGCCTCACGCGTACCCACATGATGCCAGGGGTCCAACGGTGCCAGCACCTGGCACCTCTTCCCCCACGTCACGTGACAGTGGCGGTGCCAGCAGTGCGGGGCCCACAGCGCGGGGCCCAGGAGGAGGGCAGGGGCCGGGCGGACGGGCTTCGGTGCCTCTGTGCCTCGGGCTGTGAACCAGGGGCTCGCCCGTCGGCAGGCTGTCCGGGGACAGAACGCGCTGTGTGTGGGCAGCACTGGCACAGTACCCAGCGGCAGCGAGGGCTCAAGGCAAGGAGGCCACGGCAATTCCCGGTCTCCAGATATTTCCAGCGAGCAACAGTCACAGCTGTGCACGCTTACTCGGAGCTCGGGACCGGAAGTGGCCTAGAGTTTCTCCGGGTTCCGGAGCATTGGCGTAGGGGAGACTCAGTGAGAGATGCTGAGGGCTGACTTCTTCACACACACCGCGAGCAGAGCCTGACACGAGGTCTGGTACGGAATCTCTCTCTCTCTCTCTCTCTCCCTCTCCCTCCCTGTCTCCCTCATGCTGAGACTCAGAGTTGCAGACTTTGGAACATTTCAGACTGAGGGTGGACAGGTCAGGGATGATTTACCTGTATTTTCAGTAACGGCCAACAAACTACTCTTTGCAACCCGGAGATTACTCTCCCCCAAAAGATGCACCCACCCCGCCAGCAGATGGGTACCTTGTAGAGCAGCGGCACAGAGGGCCCCTGGTCAAACAGAAGGACGCGTGGCTTATTGTCCTGCCGCCAGCCGGAGAGGAATCGGACATAGTTTTTACTTGTAACCTTAAAGTGAAAACAGAATGTTAGACTCAACGGTTAATTCTTTTTTGGGGGGCGGGTACCGGGGATTGAACTGAGGACCTTGCGCTTGCAGGGCAGGTGGCTGAACCACTGAGCTAAATCCCAGCCCCCTAATGGTTAATTCTCTACAACTATATTGTACTCCAGTCAGGAGATGAACATGTGGAAAAGATTATTTGAAAAAATATAAAAAACACACACGTGGTGGTAAAAGCCTGTAATCCCAGCACTCGGGAGGCTGAGGCAGGAGGATCGCTGTGAGTTCAAGACCAGCCTGGGCTACACAGTGAGTTCCAGGTCAGTCTCAACTATATTGTGAGACCCTGTCTCAAAAAACCAAAACAGAAAAGAGCCAACTAATTCTTTTGATTGAAGCTATTCAAAGTATAAATAAAGGGCAAAGGGGCTGGGGATTTAGCTCAGTGGTTCCGCCGCCTGCCTCACAAGCACAAGGACCCGAGTTCGATCCCTGTTACCCCACCCCCCAGAAAAGGCAAAATAAAAAGACACGCTAGAACGGGGAGATAGACCTTTCACAAACGGGAAGGGGCCAAGAGAGGGAGGGAGGAAAGGGAGGGCAGGGGAGTAACAGGAGTGTGGATGTGTTACGTACACGCACAATCTCCTGACTACAAAATCCAGAAGGAGATGGAGATTTGATATTTCCATTTGCTTCAACTCTTACAGACTGAAATAATCATTGCTGCAGCAACTGTTGCCCTATTATAAAAGTTGGGCTTCTGAAATTGGCTCTTGCTGGTTAGACTGCACGCATGCGTGCCTGTGTGTACTCTACCGCCACGCCACAGAGCACGCTCCCTCCTCTGCTAACCTGCAGCCGGCACTGCAGCCCTTGCCCTCCTCCCTGTGTGCAGTGCCGGGCCCTGCACACAACTCCACTCCACCTGTGAGCTGTGCCGCCAGCCCGAACGCCATCTTTAAGGGTGTGCAGAAGAACAAGGGGCCTGTCCCACCTGTACACCATACGCTTCCACTGGTTACCACCCGAGCTCTTACGTTTTCATCTCCTGTCTCTCTTTTTATTTTTTGGTGTTTTGAGACAGGGTCTCACTGTGTAGTTGAGAATGACCTGGAGCTCACTGTGTAGCCCAGCCTGGTCTCGAACTCACAGCGATCCTTCTGCCTCAGCCTCCCAAGTGCTGTAAGTTTTTAAAGTTCCAAAAATAGTATTTGATTTCATAGACTATAATGCTTTCTTCGGAGATGACTGTTAAATATATACGTGACTTAATTTGAATATTTTCAAATTCATAAGACAAACATCTTTACATAAGCAAACTAACGAGCTGGAATACATCTCTTATCTTGGGATACAATCCAACTTTTGTTGCTTAGCTCTAGGCTCTGCTGGGTCCTGCAGGGGGATCCAGGCCCCTCCCAGCACTTGCCAGCCGCCCGTCCCGGTGGGCACTAACCTTCTCCACCAGGCTCCCCGGGAGCAGGCTTTCCACGAAGCGCCGCAGGTTCTCCTGGATCACGGCGTTGTGGAAGAAGGAGACCTTGCCGTTTATGACGCCCAGGATGGAGGGTGTGCTGTGGGCCCCCAGGTGGTGGGCCAGGCGCCGCTCGTACCCCGCGTGGACCACGCCGATGCCCACACCTGAAAGGCATCGGAGAGCTGCGTGAAGCCGCCGTGTGCCCATGGCAGCTGGAAGAAACACTGAGAAGTGTTTTTTTTTGTTTGTTTGTTTGATGCTAGTGTGAAGTTAGAGTGGACTTAACAGGAGAGAGTAACTTTCTACAGACTGTGGCCTCCCTCACTTGCTGGAATTCTAGGTTGGTCAGTTTTTCTGTGGCACAGTCTGGCAATATTTAAGAGGAGTTACAAGTCAGGTATGGTGGCACGTTACCTGTAATCCTAGCACTCTAGGAGGCTGAGGTAGGAAGATCGCGGGTTCAAACCCAGCCTGGGCAACTTAGCAAGACTCTGCCTCAAAAACAAAACAACAAACCAAAGAGCTGGAGACACAGCTTAGTGCCAAAGCCCTGGGTTCAATCCCCAGTACAGATTAAAAATAAGAGTTAGAAATCTTTATGTCATCCTCCTATCTATCTCTCTGGACAGGGTCTCACTATGTAGTTCAATCTGGCCTTGAACTTGTGGCGATGTTCCTGCCTCAGCCTCCCCAGTGCTGGGATTATACGTGTGCGTCACTGCGCCTAGCTCAGACAGACTAACTATTCTTAACACAATGGCCAGATGGTTCCTTCTAAAAGTGACAATAAATCTTACCACTTCTCTACCCAAGCCAAGCAAAGGCCTGATGTTTTCTCTTGGAATAAAACCCATGGCCCACAAGGGCGTGGCGCCCCCTGCACTCAGCTGGCTCAGTCCCCAGCACCCTTGTGATCCTCTGAACACAGTGGGGTGCTCCTGCCCTGGGGCCCTGGCGCTGGCTGCCCCTCCCACCGGGAGTGTGCACCTCTCAGGTGTTTGTGTAGCTGACTCCTCCACCGACTTCCGGTCCTTCTCCATGAGGCCGACCTGCCCCGCGGTCAGTGCTGTCCCCTCCCAGGATGCTCACTCGCCTCCTGCCCCCGTGTTTCCTGTCTTCCGTGGATGAACCCAGGGCCTTTGCATGTTAAGCACGTGCTGTGATCCAGACCCTGCTCACCACACACTGCCTCTTTCACTGTCTCCCCACTAGAAAGGAGGCCTCCTGAAGGCAGAGATCTTTGGTCAGTGACCCACTGGTGTGCCCTAACCAATTCTTTATTGTTATACATTGAAATTCTGGAAGAAAGAAAACAACAAACCGGTTTTCCTACTCACACAGCTGTTCACTTCTTCTTTTTTGGTACCAGGGATCGAACGCTGGTGCTTGTGCTTGCAAGGCAGGTGGTGGAACCACCGAGCTAAATCCCTGCCCTAGCCCTTCACTTCTGATACCAGGTATGCGGGGGCTTCTCTCGTACACCAAGGCGTCCCCAGAGGCAGCGACTGGGTGTCTCCCCTCCACTCACTCGGACACCACTGCCCTCCCT